GGCTGTCAAGATGGATCTCTTCTGGCAGGCCTTTCCGGACTAAATCCCCCGGCCTCGGGCTGTCCTCTCTTCCTCAGCATCACCATCTGAACCCCGGTTCCCTGCGCAGTCTAATTACGGGGTGATGTGTTTCCTTTTAAATCATTTTAATTTTTATGATTTTTTTGTTTAATTTGTTAATTGGATTTTAACTATGTTGCTGTTTAATAATGTTTTAAGGGGGGGAAGGGCATTCTGTTTATTGTAAATTGTGTTTTATGCTGTAAACCGCCCGGTTACCATTGGGTGGTATGTGGAATCCTAGGATTTACAGTTTGGTGAGGCACTGGAGCTCTTCGGCTGTGAATTCTAAATTTAATATTGTAATGTGCCTTCAAATGCCAGCATGGTATAGTGGTTTAAACATTGGATTACAGCTCTGGAGACCAGAGTTCAAATCCCTGCTCAGCCATGGAAACCTACTACGAGACTCTGGGCAAGTTATACTCTCTCAGCGTTAGACGCAGGCAAAGGCAAACCCCCTCTGAACAAATCCAGTCAAGAAAATCCCATTGGAGGTTCACTTTAGGGTTGCCATAAATCAGAAACAGCTTGAAAGCACACAACAATAATAACCATGTGCCTTCAAGGTGACTTCAGTTTATGGCAACCAATTCATAAGGCTTTCTTCACAACATTTATTTGAAAGAAGTTTGCTATTATCTTCCTTGGGAACAGTATGACTTACCATTTTTACCTCTTTTAATCTGCAAATTCTAGCATTTCATAAGATGGAATCATGGCCATTTAAGTGGAATCATTGTACCAAAATTATGTAGTATGAAAGGGTCCTTTGTCTTGGCTTCATCAAGCAAAGCTCATCTTACATATTCTATTCCAATTCCACACATATCCGTCAGCCATAATGGCTAAACGGAAGTTCAAAGAAAGTATACTCTTGAATACCAGATGCTGTGAACCAATTATTGGGAAATGGGGTTGTTCTTATGCATTGCTTGTCAGCTTCCCAGGTGCATATGACTGGAAAAAGTGCAAAATTAAATGGAAACAAGTAACTTGTCTCAAACTGCAAAGCTGACTATAGGGCTGTGGTGAGCTTGAATCCCAAATCACAATATAAATCATTCAGTGCCCTTCATATATTACAAAAGGCAAACAACTCCAGGAGGCTAACTTGTTGTAGTCAGTTGGAACAAAAACAAATAAACAAAGTCGTGTGGCACCTAAATACTATTTTTTTTATCTGGAATAAGCATTTGAGGGTAGGCTACAGTCCATGAAGTTACATGCCAAATAAAATGTGTTAGTCTTTATGATGCCTCAAGAGTCTTCATAGCTTTTACAAAAGGCAATTTCTTTCTTTACATGCAGAGAAATAAAAGTATCCTCACACCCCCAGCTCTGTCAAATATCACATTTCAGGCCACTGAGCAACATTTGTGCGTTTTGGTTCTCATAACTACTACAGTATATAATTTAGGGACAATTCTGTCAGTATGCCTGGAAGTATGGCTATTAATTGTTGAGCTTTGGTTGGAAGATCATACACTGCTTTGCACTTCAAAGTATCTCAGGCTGTGTAATTACTTTCCTTTTAGATCCTGATAAGCACAGTGGTTTCAGATATTGAAACTTTGTGTGTGTGTGTGTGTGGAGCTTTCATGTATATTTATCATATGAATGCCAGAAATTATACTAAACAGAGTGAAATTCTGCTTCTTTTAAGCTCTGGAGAAATGGGCTATTCAATCCTAACTGAGTTTGTGGTTATGTAGTAGATGGACCATCACTTCTACAATCCTGCCAGAGCACACTAAACAAAACAGGAGGGTGTGGAAGTGACCTATGTTGTTTTCTGGCATACTGTTTTGTCTTTTTTCTATCTTATTATTGCTTCCAAAATGCCTGTTCAATATGACTAATAAGTTATGCCCATCCAGACAGGCATAGATTGGAGATCCCACCACTGTCTGAAGAAGACACTCTAAGTCCAGTGGATTCAAGATCACCTTCCATCCTGTTTTTTCCCTTTCCCTGAAATGCCCTCTTTGGGGTCCCTCTACTTAGTTCCTGTAATAGGAACATTACCATAAGTAGATTTATACATGCAGAACCTTTAGTGAGTGGCCTCTACAATAGACACCTTCTTTCTCCAGGGAAGCTTTGTTTTATGAGCACAGCTTGACCCACAGCCTCTCTCAAGGGGTTAAGATTGCTTTCTCCATTAATTCTGCTGTCAAAACAGATGTCTCTGGGAAGCCCACAAGCAGGCTTTGATTCCAAAGGTCTTCCTGTCTTGCCCTTTGGCATTTGGAAGTGCCCTGTCTCTATCATATGTGGTCTCTTTAGTTGTCATGGGTAATACAATTTTTGTTTGGCACTTGGTTACACATAGTCAGAAGCTTTGAAGAGATTTGACAATAGAAAAGCATTAAATTTCTTGTTTTACTGTAGCTTTTCACAGCATATAGTTATTTTAGAAACCCAATTGGAAACCCAATAAACTCTTCTTAAGAGCTTGCAAAAGTTATTTTTTGGATAAAACTCCCAGAAGGGACTTTTGGACTGGTATGGCTAGGATTAACTTCTCCAAGATCTGGTGGTTCATATTTTATGTGCTTGACATGTTTTTCTTTTATGACCTCAAATAGAAACATGCATGAAATTATTTTTGGCTGGATTTTGTTGACAGCCCTTGTTACATTTGTTGTCCTTAGGTAGTGTGCTGTCAAAATCTTTTGTAGACCCACATATTTTAACGCATCTATAAACCAGAGAGCTCAGCTTGTGTGTCTGTTGAAATTCTTTCGCATTTCAGTTCCAGATTCTCCTCGCCTTGGACCTAAAGGTGATAGAATTGCTCACATAATTATCAATGCCAATGATGATGCTTTTGGAACACTGCAGCTCTCAGCATTGGCTGTGCGAGTGGCTGAAAATTACATTGGACCTATCATCAATGTCACAAGAACAGGGGGACTTTTTGCAGATGTTTCAGTAAAATTTAAAGCTGTGCCAATAACAGCAACAGCTGGTAAGAACATGGGGAGGAGTTGTCATGAGATAGAAAAACCTTCAGTGATATATTAGATTACGTCTAACAAATGACAAGAATGAGAACAAAAACCTTACTATTTGTATGTCACAGTGTGGTCCTCCAGAGGAAATGAAAATGGGTTCTAGAACATTTCTAAGTGTGGTTTATTTAGTGTGAAAAATGAATTCAGAGCAGACTGGACTAGTCTGACAGTATTTTGATAGCCCTAAGATCTGAACTGTACTGCAGAAATAAAGCAGTTTGACACCACTTTAATTCCATGGCTGAATACTATGTAATTCTGGGATTTGTAGTTTGTGAGCTATTTAGCCTTCTCTGTCAAAGAACTTTGGTGCAACAATAAACTACAAATCACAGAATTTCATAGCATTCAGCCATGGCAGTGTCAAATTGCAGTGCAGGCTAGACCTATGTAGGCTACCCTTGATCCTTTCCAGAGTAGGATCTGCCTGAATGAAAACTGGAGAGGGCTTCAATACATTTAATGGTTGTGTAGAAGAGAGAAGGCAGTAGGTGTTACTTGTTACCTGGCTGGGTGACAAGCCACACCTGCTGAATTATCTCTTCTGCATAGCCATTAAAAGTACAGGAGCCCTTTCCAGTATTCATCTTGGGAACCCTATTCTGCTCTTATTCACTGATTGGTTAAATCAGGGGTAGGCAACTTTTGCTTACCAGGGGCCGGTCCACTGGTCCTGAGGTCTTCCGTGGGCCGGGGGGGGGGAATGGTGGCGCGCACGCATGCTCATGAGTGCATGCGCAGTACGCCAGAAGTATTGCGCATGCACATGCATGCTCGCTCATACATGTGCAGTATTTCCGGCGTACTGCGCATGTGCGAGTGAGTCACAGCCATCATTTTGTTTTCCAAAATGGCATTGCGACTTGTGCAGCGGCGGTGGGACTGGGCTGGAGCCGGTCCAAAGGCTTCGAGGGGCCAAATCTGACCCCTGGGTTAAGTCCTAGCCTCCAACAATTTAAAAATAGGCTGCTTAAGAGTCATGAGTACAGAATATCTTCTCCAAGGTGTAACATTACTTGTTGTTTGAAGCACTTCAGATAGTCCTACAGATTCATCCACATCAAAGACTTTAATTTCCTTTGGAAAAATTATATTTTTAGACTACAGTTCCCATAGTATCCCAACTGATGGATTCTGAGAGTTTTAGTTTAAAAACACCTTTTTCCAGGCTGTGTTTTTGAGCATTGTAAAGAAATAAAGTTATGGTTTTGAATTATGGGTAAAGGCATTTGTTTCCAATTTTGCCTAAGCATCTTTCTCATGTTTATACACACAGGTGAAGACTACAGTGTAGCCTCATCAGATGTTGTCTTACTAGACGGAGAGACCAGCAAAGCTGTGCCAATTTATATAATAAATGATATCAACCCTGAGATTGAAGAGTCCTTCTTTGTGCAATTGCTCAATGAGACAACAGGGGGAGCATTGCTTGGAAGTTTAACTCAGGCTGTTATAGTCATAGAGGCTTCTGATGATCCATTTGGATCTTTTGGTGAGAGGAACCTTTTAAATGTATTTTACTAGTTTTCTTGTTACAGTAGTAATCTGCTGATTTAAATGCTGCTTTCCATCACAAAATATTTTATCTAAGGAACAATTGTTTGTCTCTTTCTAGCCAGACTACTTCAGCAATATCCAGCCTCAATCTCTAATTTGAAAATGTCATCGTACGGTCATTGTATATACACACATATACACAGGGAAGGTAGCCAGGTTGTCCTAAAGAAAAAGGGTAATAAAAATTTTTAGAGTATAAAAAGTGTTTGGACTATAATTCTCAGAGTTTTGGAGTAATAGTCCAAAATTAATGTTTCCAAGCTCTGAAAGATACTGTATGAACTTTCTACTTTTTGAAGACTATCTGGCTAAAACAGGGGTAGGCAACCTTTCCCCTTTAAGGGCCAAGGGAATTCAGCTCCCAGAATCCCAGGAGCTATTGGCCAACATGGGACTATTGGCCAACATGGCTGAGGCTTCTGGGAGCTGAAGTCCCTGGGCCCTTAAAGGGGAAAGGTTGCCTACCCCTGGGCTAAAAGGTGAAAAAGGCAGAGGACCCACAGCAGTTGTCATTGTCTCTGTCTCTCAACCAAATCTACCTTGCAGAGTTGTTGTGAAGATAAAATGAGGTGACTGGAAGAAATATATTAAGCTAATCTGAGGAAGAGTAAAATGTAAATGTTATCAATGAACAAACAAATAATATGATATAGTTTGTAAACCCACTGTTTATTAGCAGTCTGCTTCAAAATGTCAATTATAATTAAAAATGAAAAAAAATCCTGCCCCACAAGGCATTTTATACTAAAGATTGACTAAGTTCTTCAATTTCCTAGTCTTTCAGATCACTGAAATCACTGTTGAAGAACCTGAG